GGTAAATTAACATAAAACTACATCTACCTAAAGAATATTTGAGACATTTCATATGAGATGCTGTTCGGAAAGTGGCTTGTGTTAAAAACAACAGCAAAAGTTTGTCACAAAAATTTAATCGAAATGCTAAATCTAAATGTTAAATCTGATTGATTCGCAGACACTTAATATTTAGTTAATGTGCAAATTCACTTCTACCAGAAAGTACCAAAATAAAAGCTCAAATAAACTTTTTGAAGAAAATGTCTCCCAACATGTTAGAAATAGGAGTTTCTAGATATTCGCTGTCACCAGAATGAACCAATTCATAGTTTTGAGTGGCTGTGGCTAAGGGGTTAGGGTAGTCGTTCCTCTAATCCAGGAGTTGGCGGTTCGATTCCCCACTATTCTGACATATGTTGAAGTTTCCCTGGCAAGACATTGAATTCCCAGTGCCTCTGATGTGTGTCCCATCAGTGTATGAATGTAATTTAAAGCACTGATAATCCATAGATTGATAATTTATCTGTATTATCTTTATAGATATAGTAGTGTGGATGGGTAAATGAGGACAGTTTATAGTACTTTGAGTATCCTGGTTGGATTGAGAGGCGCGATATAAGTACAGTCCATTTACCATTTATCTAGTAAATTTCATTTTCATTCTCTAAACGCAGTCAAGCTTTTATTTTGGTAATTTCGGTTACAGGCAGTGTATAAAATGAACCTTCAAGCAGGGTAGCGCTCACACCAGAACACCAGTAAACGTCATCRTTCACCCAGAATGCTTTGTGGTGTAAATAWTATGGTGACGTCTGTGTGACAATATGTTATTTTTAATTTAGAAAAATGAAACAGCTTGCAGTATTATTACAGTYTGGTTTTTATAGWTGAAGTAAATGTTTAGCAAATGTTACAACTAGAATCAGTTCCCTGTAAGATGAGGCCTGAATAATGCAGTGATGAAAGAGAAATGTTTTGAACATTTTGAAAAAAAGATAATTGGCCTTTTAATGACGTGTCTACAACATGTGATTAGAAAGGGATTGGATGAGGCACTTGAACTCAGCTGCTTTTGAAATTGGACTTTTTATGTTTATGTGGTTTTTAAAATATTCACTAACTGGTACCAAAAATTAGACCTTGAATGAATTCAATGACTGGTTTGGGGGGGATTTGCCTATAAATGCAGAAAAACAGTATATGACTTAAGATCCTCTGACTGTGTCCAGAACGGAGCCCAGGAAGCTCCCGCCACACCAGGTGGAGGTGGAKGCCATCCAACAGAACAGCACCCAGATCTTCCACAACATCTACTTCCCCAACGACACCAACAAGGTAGCTGCACAGACTTCTTCTGATTTATTCTGTTCTAATGTCACGAGAAAACAAAACTTAATCAAACCGGCTCATCTGCATTCCTCTCATCTTGTCCCAGATATTCGAAGTGGCCACCAACACCAGGATCAAGGATCTCATCCAAAACGTCTCCAAAGAACTGAACCTGGCTTCGTCAGACGGCTTCAGCATTTTTGTCAAAACACAAGACAAGGTTYGTTTGGAATTTGAAAGCTTTCAATAAGATGTGTACTGTAGAATCTTTCAACCCTTTAATGGTCTGACCGTGTTGATTTATCTTCAGGCTCTTAGTTTGAATGATTCAGACTACTTCTTCGACAGCCTGAGACAGATCACTGACTGGTCGAAGCAGTCCAAGAGGATTAAAGAAGGTAACGGCACATTATGGCACATAATAACGGCACATCACAAAGAGTGTGAGGCATTTTATGGCTGTCTATATTTACTTAAAAACCTGTGTGTGTATTTGTATTATGCAGGTGGACCAGTGAACATATCCTACCTTGTGTTCTTCATGAGGAAGTTGTGGTTTAATGTAATCCCAGGCAGAAACACAGAGGCTGATCTTATCTTCCATTTCCCCCAGGTATATTTGAATAAGCAGCTCAGGTTATTTTGTCACCTGCGTCGACCATTCTGTTCTATTTTATTCCATAAATACAGCCCTGCCTTTGTGCTACAAATAAAGAATGTTGGCAATTAAAAAGATTAGGTAACCTGTTGATTATTGACTAGGTAACAACTTTGTAAATCGGTTTAAAGGTCAAATCTGAACCCTGATGTGTAAAAAAAAAAGTCCCTTAGATAACAAACACCTCTGTATCTTCCAGGAGTTACCAAAGTACCTGAGAGGCTATCACGTTTGTACCAAAGAGGATATGATCAACATCGCAGCTCTGCTCTTCAGGGTGAAGGTCAGCAATGACAAAACCCAGCTCGCCATGGTTCCTAAGATGTTGAAGGAGCTGGTTCCCGCCGACCAGCTGAAGACCATCTCTGAAAACGAGTGGAAGAAGGTACAAGAGTTAACAGGCTAAGTAGCTGGATGGGTATTATTTTTAATAAAAATACACACAAAATTAA